ATTTCTGTACCTGGACTGCTATTGAGATTTTTAGGTAGCTTAAGGGCCTGATTGCCAATGCAGGCAATAACGAAAGTATGAAAGATCATTACTGTTTCAAATGACTGTGACCTACCTAATTCTGCTGAAATTAAGATTCTTAGGTATCAGAATTTTAATGTTTAACTATCTGTTTCCGTCAGCTATGAAAGAATAGAATAAACCAGCAGCTTTTTTTTTTTTTTAATTTAACAGTTGGAAAATCCGGATGGATTTTTCTATCCATTATGGAGGGAATCCATTATGCAGTCTTTCCCACAGAGTTTTGATCATTGAAAGTGAAAGTTTAACACAACAGAGACATTTTCTTTTCCATTCAGATGCCACCTTACAGCCTTTGAGGACTGTAAGACAGATTTGCAAGCAGTTTTGCTTCATTTTGGGAAGTGATAGCAGAGCTACTTACCATGGGTCTGATAAGTAAGAGAGCACTTACTTTGCTAGGATGCAAATGACTGGATTAATGAAGCTTGTAGGAGATTTCCTAGGCATGAGAAAGGCAATGGGAAGGAGACATCAGATAAGCATCTTCTGAGACTTCTGGCAGCATTAATAAATTCTTAGAGGAGTGCTTTCATGAATTATAGAAAGACAAGTTATTATTGGTGAAGTCAAGAAACAAAGAAATGCTACATCATCCTACAATGTGAAACAATCATTCTGCTCAGAGGTGTCTTTATAAGACCTGTGCATTAGTCAGTGGATGTAATCCATGTTCAGAGGCTTTTACTAGCTCAACATTAGTGAGAGAAATTACTTGCATGACTTTTTATTCCTAGCACTGATGCAATATCTACCGTGTGGAGACAAAGTGCCATCCTCTTTACATTTATGCTTCCCCAAAGGTTTTGATTAGCAGCCTGCAGTTGTGTAACCACATGTAGGCCAAGCATCACAGATAACCCAAAGGCGTAACAACCAGCAGGGTACAGAGAAGGTTACTGAGGCCCTCATGTGCTCTGCAAAGTTTTATTGTGTCATATTTGAAAGAAGGAGTGGAGCCCAGGCACAGCTTTGTTTGTACACAGAAGTTAATGTGTACGTATAATGTAATTTTTGGTTATGAAAAAAAGTTACTTGATTTTAAGTTGGCATGCACACCAAACACAGCTTGAAAGAGTAAGTATGAAACTTATAAGAGGATTACAGAGAGTAGTATTCAACAAGTAAAAAAGATGAACTCCTTTAAAAGTGTAAACCACACATTTTCATTATGTCTAAAATAAAATGCATAGGACCTCTTAAGAGCATAACAGAAAATGAAACTTGGAGTCACGTTTACGTCATGTTAGACATTTGAGTAGCTCTCAGACAACCATAAGACAGCAGAAGAACCTGTTATGAATTGCTCATTATACTTGCTGTTAGCCAGAATAAAACAAATCCTGAAGGCTTTTGTTTTGTTAGCAAATTGTTGTACAGAGATGCATGGACCAATATTTAGCCCCCAGGTTGATAACTGGCTAGGACCAATTTACTATTTTCAATGTGAAATGGAGTCAGACTAGGTGGGAGGGCAGGAGGGAGCAGCCTGCATATACAGGGCACGAAGGTCACTGGAAATTGTTGAACCATGCTGTTGTATATTTATATGTGTGCTGTGTGCAACATGTGAGCCTTCCTGCAACTGCAGGGAACAGTCAGAACTGTTTTACAGTGTAGTCTGTGGGTTTAGTTTAAAGCAACAGCATTTTTTGAGTTAAATGGAGGGAGGACTATGTTGTGGTCATGACTAAGCCACAGCATGCAAAGTTCAGTTCCCTCTTCTTGACTCCAAGCAAGTAATTTGATTTCTTGAAAGCCAGAAAGAACCATGCTTCCTTTGATAAAACATGAGATACAACCCTGCCAGGTGATCATTGCATTCATACCACCAAGTTCTCCTTAAAGGCTACTGCCATTAAGATCTGCAGACAAAGGTGTCTCAGCCTATAAGCCAGTTCCTTTACAGCTCACAAACTCTCAGATTCTGCCTCCCATCATGGTTCTCCTATTTATATAGTCCAGGCACTGGGACCAGTGGCTTCTAGGCTACATCTGAGCCAGGAGTATCTGTGGTCTTTTAAAAAAGTTGAGGTCTCTGTCCCAGTTAAGTCTATAAAATGCAAGTATCAACAAGCAGTCCCCATAGATGTCAAAGGATCCATCATCTATGTAAGAGTAAACTTGCTGCTTAGGTCTTTGCAAGATAGATGAATTACAGCATAGAGGTTTTTAGCTTGGGGTTTTAAATGACCTATCTAATTTCTGAGGAGAAGCTGGAAGTGCAGCCTGAATTTGAGCCTCCTTTGGACTTCTATCAAAGGGTCCATCTGTGATGAACCTGGTCCAAATGATCTGAAAAGGTTAACATCCAAGATCAAGAACAGAGCTCCAAAGACAAAAGGAGGGTTTCATTTGTTTGATATTCTCTGGCAGCCTTCTGCCTAGTGACTGGAGAACAGGAACAAAAATCTGTACTTAACTAGAGTGATTTTTCATGTCATCTCCCCACGACAAGTGCCTAGCTTGCTTTGCCAAAAGCCAATACCCGGAGCTCACACAACAGCTATCTACAAGCACAGCATCACTGACCAGATTCTTTATCCTAAACTAAACTCATTATTTCTCCTTATCTGCAGATGTCTAATCTACAGTGTATGGAGGCCTAAAGTCCTCTGAGCATTGCTGCTATGCTGCTGCACAATGGCAGGCAGGAGAGGAGAAGAACAACCTGCCCCAGATCCTGCCAGGCTCACTGTTACGCTCTTGCTAAAGCCACCATGTTCCTGTCAAGGAAGCAACCGTGGTTATTCTCAGTGTAACAGGCTGCACCATCACTTAAATAAAAGTAAAATTTATTTGGCATAGGACAGAAAAATAAGGAGAACAAAATCACATATAAAATAAATGTTAAGCAAAAAAAATATTCACAGAACTAGACTGATATTTTATAAAAAGCTCAAACTTTAAGCATCTGATAAAAACATGTTACTTTCTGCTCAGCCTATGTTTTAAGTTACGTTTTTCAATCTTTCATGATCTTGTGTGGCTTTGGAAGTCCAAATTAAGAGGCCTTCCTTTGCATGCCATTAGTTTACCTTAAAGAGTATTTACCACAAATGAAGTGTATTTCAGAATGGCAACATACTGAAGGGTTACTCCCTTTTTTAAGACATGCGGTTTCTTTTTCTTTGAGTCTGCCTACTCACCTGCTGCATACTCACTCAAGTGAGCACATAATACATGTGCCCTGCTTCTGCTGAGTAATTCCAGCACTCCCATTTTTGCCAGTGCTCCAGGTTTACCTTTTAACAGAATGGTCCAGCCATTTCCACCTCTCAGGCTTGTTTTCTCCCAATGTACATGAAGAAGCATTCCATGAACTAACTACACTTAACATGCTACTGGCTATCTTAGGTAAGAGATTCCCCTTGTTTCCTGGTGAATACCATTTGAAAGATTAAAGTTCATACAATATTTTATAGAGGGTCCATGTACCGCCAAACAGGTTGTTTGCACCTGACTGAGACACAATGATGTTCACGCTATTGCAATGTGGTATTACATAGATGCAACATTTTATATCATAATTTGTACTCTGGTATCGATAGTGACATTCAGACATTCAATTGGTTTCCATCTCCTTGAGCAATCTGCTCCTTTCCAGCATCCTGTGGCTGAGGGGCCCTATGTAGGTCTCTTGACATTTGACATTCTGCTTGAAAAAATGCCAGTTTGATCCTTCAACTATATTCTTTAATTCCAAGGCAAAAAGAACCCTTTCTGTTTCCATACTTCTGCACAGCGAATTGTTGTATTACAATGTATTTGAAGCATGATAGCAGTTTAGTTCCTTCATTCTCTGCTCCAAGAGAAACCCACTTCTACAAGTGACATATATAAAGAATTATTTCTGCAAGGAGAAACTGCCATTTTTTTTAGTGACAATTTAAAGAACTTCTTCAACAGTTTAGTCTTGCAGATTCTTTCAGTGTTGGGAAATGCTGGTTCCTAAACATGAACTTTGCAACCTTATTTAAGAAGTAGTTAATTTACAGAAATACATATTTCCTGAATCACTAGCTGAGTTTCCTTTAACAACTTTGAACATTAATCATTGTGACCTCTTCTGTCACTGGCTGGTGCAGAAAGTTGTTACCAATATAGGGTGTGCTTTTCTTCCAAATATACTGAGCAGAAATTATCATCACATGGTACAAAAGTAACTCCCATTTCATTTACTGACTTGAATTAAACAAAAATGAACATCTGTGGCCGTTTTCACACATTGTGAGCTTAGTGATGATGTAAAAAGATAGTTTGAGGTGTGAGGGTTTATAATACAGTGTCATTGAAACAAACCCAGTAAATCTTCTATGTAAGCAGCGAATCAAATTTTGTCCTCTAACAACACTGAAGTCAGCTGGGCTCTATGGATTCTCTATGATGGATTCTCTATGGATTCTCTATGGATGGCTCTATGAATCAGTGTGAGACACCGATTTTGGGAAAGTGTTAAATTTCCAGAGCAATACCAACAATTGATGGTGGGGCTAACCATTGCCCACCTACACCTCACCTACAGACAAATCCAATAGTCTGTCCATACACTGAGCCCAATCTGAAGTTATCAGAATGAGCAGAACAGAACAGAAGGACTACAGAAGAACTTGGCTCAAACACTGCATAATGCTACTGTTGGCACTATTTACATTAGGACTTGGAAGAGCATCACCTATTGATTTTGCTAGTGAGACACGGAAAAGTTGACTTAAAAAGTCATAAGGCACCATTAACACAGTCTGTTTTGTATTCTTTTTTAACACTTCATAGTGAAATAAATACTTAATACTGATCATATTGTAAATAGCTACTGATACATGAAGCAATATATTGAATGATAAAATGCTGCACTGTTCTGGAATATACCTAGGGACTTTTATAGCAAAAGATATAAATAGTAAAGTTGTTGTTCAGTGAAAAAAATCCTCCTTCTCCATTGTTAAGCTATTTTACATATATGCCAAACATCTATTCTGAAGAGCTTTCTATAGTACAAAGAAGTGCTAAACCCAAACAGCTCAGCTTTTGTGGCTGGTTGACTGAGGGCCTTTTACAAAGCACATTTTAAGGTGAGACTGAAGTTGGTTTGCCAAGTCTTTGGTAGTGGTCCAGAATTTCTGGTCAGAAAACCTTGCTCAAAAGATCAAATATAGAATATTTTGAATGATGCAGAGAATTGGCAGAACAATGTGCAGCATTTTCATTGACTTACTCAAAGTAAAACAGTCATGCTGGAAGCAAGTAAGTGATAAAAAAAAGTATAGTTTCTGGAGGGTTTGCGTTTTGGTTCTTTTTTTTTGGCTGTATAGCTGTTTGGATATTAATAAGGATTTGGCAGGTCAAGGTACTGAAAATATTGTACTCTTAAATTCAGAATGTTGTTCCTTAGAAACTTATAAGTGCTTCAGTTTAAAAGCATGAATACAATAATTTATCCTTTAAGTTATTATGCTAAAAATCTTATTTGGACTTCTATTCCCATAATAATATCCCAAAGAGACAGGCACTTTAAGTGACACCCATAAAATACATATAGAAATTCAGTATTGAGCTAGGTTTGATCCCTGGTGCACCTGTCACATGGAGGTCCCACTAATATCTGTTTTAAGAAACTCTTACAGCCACGAGCCTGCAATTAGGTGTAGTTACATCCCTGCGCCTGCGCATTTAATTGCGGGTTCAAGACCATAAATAGTAACTTAAAATAGGTCTTTAGATATAAAAATGTAAAAACCAGGTACATAATCAAATGCTATCACAGCTAATAAGATTTTGTAAACAAACACTGAAAAGGCCAAATTAAATTTGATCTGGCCAAATACAACTCTGCCTCATCCTCTTCATTGTGACCGTCCAGGCTGTCAGGCAGAAAGGGGATCTATCCCTCCATGCCCACTGATAGAGCAAGAAGTCCAATGCACTAACACTTCAGTGGGGTCCAGACCCTTCTCCTCTATATTCCCTAGATTTTGAAGGACTGAACTCATTCTAGCTGTAGAGTGTACTTAGGATCATGCCTCCCATGCTACAGAAACATTTTCTTAACCAACATGACTATTCCTTGAGCAACACCCTGTGAAGCATGGCTGCTGATACAGGCTTGGGAGGGATCCCAAAGAGTATGCTGAAGACACAAACTGCTGAGAAGACAGAAGAGATTTTCAGAGCTAACCTTCTAAAGTCCAATTAACAAAGAGCTAGCATTCAGCAATATTTCAAATCCAGAATTATAATCTTCCCCTAATTTCCAAAGGCATTTTATATGCATTTAGATATTTTTGTAAATGCACTCACACAATGAACTTTTTTCTCATATACAACATTGAAAAGCCATTAAACATATTAACCAATTGTCACAATGTTAGAATACTTTACACTCTCTTCCATTAATGAAAGCCCTGAAGCTCTCTGCAGAGACTCCTTTCAGCAAAGTTTGAAAGGACAGGCTTCATTATCAACTCAGAAGGCCAAATCTTCCCATTTCTCCTGAACCAGTGCAGACAGCAAATTTCAGAGCTGATGCTCCCACTTGAACCCACAAACCCCAGACCTCCTTCACTACATCAAAGGGCTTTCACTTACGCACATTTTTGACCTAAGCTGCTCTACTGTAATGCCATTCAAATACAATCTCTCTGAGACTTGTGACCTAAGCCCCAGGAAGCTTTTAAAGTCAAAGGCCATCATTTAATTGTACCAAAGAAACAACTGGAAAGCAGTCTGTGGAGCACTGGTGGTAGCAATGCTTTACAGCAGGAGCCTGCCGCTATACTAATTGCTGCATTTGTACCAAGGCTACTTTCTGAGGACTCTTTGCATGTAGTCTCAGATAGAGGGCATGACAATAATCCAGAACATGGATGGCTGTGAGCTGGTCCACCTCAGAGTAGGAAAGAATCAGGTGACTAAAAACATAACACTATTAAAAAAAAAATGAAAGAGGGATTAAAAAAAAAAAACTCAAAAAGTGAGTTTTTCACTTCTGCTTTTCTTTGGACGATTATCCGCAGATAAAAACAAGGCCAGACACACTCCACCTTCGGGGCAGGATGTGCCATCTATTGTTTAAAATAAGATGTGCTTGGTTAAGATGAAGTGAAAAGGTTTAGGATGAACTCCTGGTCACCATGTAGTAAGTCTATGGCTTGCAGAAGCAGACAGGCTGAGTTAGGCATGCAAAGAAGAATCCAGGTGCCTCTGGGCGACACTGTTTTCCCCAGAAACTGGTTTTTAAACAGAAAATAGATTGTACTTTATCATTCAAATATTACAGCCACTGTACCCAAAGTGAATGAAACAGCTTTGTTCCAGTTCTCATTAAATTCAAAGCCAGACCTCTCGTGAAGCTCTCATGGGGACAGAGCTGGACACAGTAAGCTTGATGCACGTATGTTGTGTGTGGTCCACAAAATGCCTTTCATGACAGCCTGCAGTAAAAGTAGATAAAATTTATAGCTTTGAGCAACTATAGTTCATGAGCTGCATCTATTACTTCTGTAATAGAGACTGAAGTTGTTTTCCAACTGACAAGCCAAAAGTGGAAATGAAGCAAAACAGACAACTTTCCAATGATGTGGATAGGAGAGCTAGTTGAAGGAAACTTGAAAACAGACGTCACCCAAAGATGAGCCAGAACCCATTTCACCTTGGTATAGGTGGAAGCGGGGGGGCACCTCTTTCTTTTCGGCCAGAACCACCTAGAAGAGAAAGAAAGTTTTTGGTGTTACTCCTCCTGGTTTCTTTTAAAGTAGGAGTTTACATCCAAGCCATTAATTCAGTAACTGGCAAAGATCTTGCCTAGCCATTTTACTAAAAAAAGCTTTTTAGAGTTTCCAGTTAATTTATTAAACAACATCAGAACTTCAAACAGCGTAAAAGAAGGTTTTTAACTAACCTTATCCCAAAATGTCTGAAAAGTATATGTGTTTTAGTCTCTTGTCCCCTACTCAAAACAGATCGATAGCTCTTGATAGCCTTCCTACTTTATGCAAACACATACTGTATTAGTGCTACTTGCAAGACATTCAGATTTTGATTAAAGTGGCAAGCTCTAAATGCAGGAACATTTCAAAGCTCTTAATGTTTTCCCCTATATGAAGATTTTCACTGCAAACTCATGAAATAAAACATTAAAAAGCATATATTACTTTGCATTTCTTTGTGGAGTAATGCGAATGGGATGAAAGCTAACAGGGCAAAGTGAAGGATCAGAGACTAACAGGAATTTCTGCTCCAAACCAAAACCTCATCACTTGGAAACAGGAGAGAGAGAGAAACATCTGAGTGTACAGATGATTACAGGGTAATTACAAGCCACCGATGTCACTGGTTGTGAAAGAAGGAAATTGATCCTTGGGTGTATCAGGCAAAATACCAGTAATGAAGATAGGAAACATTTATGCTGCAGTAGAGACATGAATGGGAACAGCATGTAACACTGACTGTAAAAGACGAAATCAAACTGAAATGTATACAGAAGGAACCTTGATGATCAGACAACATAGCTTGGAAGCACAGTGTAATACATCCTGATTTAATCAGTCCAGCAAAACAAAAGCTGAGAGGAGGATATGACTGTCATCTGCCTGTAGAAGAAAGAGCTGACTATAGTGGCAGAGGTGGTCTCTTACAATACATATTCCAACTAAACCCCCTCAAAATTCTCCCCTCAGATACAAGTTTGAGAGGGCTTGCAGCTGCAAACCTGCATTTAGCTTCTTCTTTGTGGTGGGGAAGCGTCACTAGGCTGTTAGTCTGAGAAGTTTTGAAACCTCAGCATCCAGAGTCTTCCCTGTCCACATTGTTTTCAGGATGATACACTGAAATGCCAACAGCAGAGGTGGAATAAACTTACCTCTACTTTCATTTCTTGCTAGTTTACTGGGATAACTTCTGTTCATGGGTACATATGGCTCTGGAGGTGGCAAATCAGATATGGGATGAAAAGAAAATCTGCTTTCCCATTCATCTGCAAAAAAAAAAAAAAAACAAACAAGGAATTGACTCATTAGTTTTATGACACAGCTTCAGGATAGTAAACTGACATTAACATCATGTTTGACACATATTTTATGTTGCACAATGCTTACATAGCCAAGTATTGAACCAGCATCCTACTGGGAAGTCAAGGAAGAAGATACTTCAGGTTAGTTTGAGAATGAAATACTTTGTTCTTAGATACAGAATTTTCTGATATTCAAACTTCATTGATATACAGAGAAAATTTGAGGCCATTATGATAAAATTTATGATGACAGAGAAGCCTGTATATAACTAGTGTCAAAAATGAAAAAATACATCAGTTGAAACATCTTTTGAGACTACAGAGACCCTACTGATGTACTTAGTGAGTCTATAGGATTCTAAAGAATGAAGCAAGCTGATCAGTTTTTTCATTGAAATAACAGGAAATGTTTATAAAGCTCTGTTCTGCATTTGAATTTGGAGGCCCAAGGAAGAAGAAAGTGTGGGCTATCTTAAACTTTGTAATTACTTCACTTGGTTGCTTCAGGAATTTGCAACCACGCTTTTGTTGCAATATTGTTATGTTTTATTGCGTAATGTAATGAACAGCTGACTAAGTTTTGCCCAGCAGTTCTACATGCTGTGATAGAGGTTTTCTATGCTTCCTCCCAAAGGCTACAAGTAGAATTCAGTGTGCAAAGGACCTGCAGGTTCTGAACCCTGCAAATATCTTGTGTATGATAAAATGTGTCTGTGACCCAACTGCCTTACTGGAGGTGTGAAGCTGCTTCAAAAGCATGAGTTCATCAAATCATAGACTCATTAGGGTTGGAAAGGACCTTAAGATCATCTAGTTCCTATCCCCCTGCCATGGGCAGGACATGTCCCACTAAACCATGTCACCCAACACTCTGTCCAGCCTGGCCTTGAACACCGCCACGGATGGAGCATCCACAACTTCCGTGGGCAACCCATTCCAGTGCCTCACCACCCTAACAGGAAAGAACTTCCTCCTTATATCAAATCTAAACTTCCCCTGTTTACGTTTGAACCTGTTACCTCTTGTCCTGTCACTACAGCCCCTAAAGAATAGTCCCTCCCCAGCATCCCTATAGGCCCCCTTCAGATACTGGAAGGCTGCTATGAGGTCTCCACGCAGCCTTCTCTTCTCCAGGCTGAACAGCCCCAACTTTCTCAGCCTGTCTTCATACAGGAGGTGCTCCAGTCCCCTGATCATCCTCGTGGCCCTCCTCTGGGCTTGTTCCAACAGGTCCATGTTCTTTTTATGTTGAGGACACCAGAACTGCACACAATACTCCCAGTGAGGTCTCACGAGAGCAGAGTAGAGGGGCAGGATCACCTCCTTTGACCTGCTGGTCACGCTCCTTTTGATGCAGCCCAGGATACGGTTGGCTTTCTGGGCTGCAAGCGCACACTGAAGCTGGCTCTTGTTCATTTTCTCATCAACCAACACCCCCAAGTCCTTCTCCGCAGGGCTGCTCTGAATCTCTTCTCTGCCCAGCCTGTAGCTCTGCCTGGGATTGCTCTGACCCAGGTGTAGGACCTTACAGCAGTATTTTTGCTTACTTTTTCTAACCTTCTAAATGCCAGAAATACCAATTTTGGTCTCCTATAATTAGCTGATAGATTTACCTGCTCTTTACAAATAGAAAACAATTAAAAATAAAAGGATGATGAATCTTTAAAACACAGCAACCTCACCTTTTCAATAAACACTAGCACTGACATTTTCAGCAGGATTCTGGCAATCTCTTCCTTCCTCTGTTTCTTAGCTTTCAAGTCATCATTAACCTGTTCTGACTTCCAAAGTATCTTAATGTAGCTATCATTTGAATTCATATTAAGAGAACAATCCCACCTTAGGCTGTATTTCTGCACTGTAGCAAAACAAAGCATTGTCAATACGTTTCTTTTTTTTCAGGTTGTTTTTCAAAGGGTTATTTTGGTGACTGTACTGATGACTTTGCAATTCTGCTCTATGTATGGTGTATTTATCCTGTTCGTATTTGGCAGAGTCAACTGAGACCCTACTGACACCCCGATGGTCAGAAATCAAAGGTCTGCACTAGAAACACAGCCTCTATCCCAAACCCTTTTTGAAGGCCGAAAGGTGCTACAGGGTCTCTATCAGAGGCAAACAGGTGTGTGCATGGCTTACCATCGCCAGGATCCTGGAAGCCGTTTCTGACAGCGGCTGAAGGCGGCGGTGGTGGCGGCGGCGCTGCTGAGCCCGGCCGGTCGGGGGGAAGCGGCGGTCGTGGTCCACCTCTCTGGCTGTCCAGCCCTGCCCGGGAGGGCAGCTGCGGAGTAGCGGGCAGAGCCCGTGAAGCGCTTCCATTCCTGCTTATGGGAGGAGGTGGTGGGAGTGGGCCTGGAGAAAGACAAGAGGCAAGCACACAAATGATGTTTGTACCAGGGGTTATTCTGCCAGTGGTAGGCCACTGCCTGCATCCCACAGTCCCACTATCAAACCAGAGAGGGTGGGCTGCCTTAGGACCCTGGCAGGGAGTCACCCTCAGCACCCACTTCTCTGCTCTCCAGGGCTCTCTATGCAGTTAGTGCTGATTTGAAGAGAGGAGAGCAGGGTATACCTTAGCATAAATACATCTCAGTTACCATATTCCCATTTCCCTTAGCTACAGAAACCTCTGCAGATGTACTGGTCCTTGAAGCCACTTTTAAACCACCATAAATTACATTGGCCACAATGAGCGTTAAGTTACAGCTGTAATTCAGGGTACTGTGAAGGTCCAAACTTAGCCCATTTCCTTTCCATGTACCATAGCAAGGCAAGAGGACATGTAAAAGAAGAGCTCTGCTACCCTCAGAGGCTCTTTGCCCATAGGGGTGGTCATCCCTAGGTGTCACAGCCAGGACCTGCAGTGGCACACAGGGGAATCCAGCCCAGGAATGGCAGCGCTAAGCAGCATGGCATCAGCTCACTCGTTTGTAAACAAACATATGTGCTGTATGCCAAGTTTTTAGTAGTTGGAGAACATACACCTCCCGCTAAACTGGAAACAGACCTCACACGTAGACTGGCATTCCCAGTGTTTGTGTGTCTGACTAACTGGCATGGTAACATGACAGGTCAAATACAAAGGCACTGCCCACGTAAGGCAGGAACAGGGCTGTCCTGAAGGCAGAGGAAGGGTGCTTCTCCAAGGAGCCAGTAAATGTAGGCAAGAAAGCTGCTGCTGCCAGGGAGAGAGTTAGGACACAAGGAGATGAAACAGAGGGTGTGGAGGGCCATGTGTGTTCAAAGGGCTCACTACCTGTGTTTGGCAGAGTTGGGCAACTGACAATTATGTCCATTTTTATGAAATGCTTCCTTGTCCTGATGAAATCTAGCTACAGACATGCACTTTGAAAAAAGAGAGCAGCAGATACTGTGTCTCAAGCGACACACATTGAAGCATGCTTCAAGAAACTGGCTATACCTTGTGGGTTTGGTTCCCCCCCCTCCCGTTTTTCCTTCTTTTTTCACACATTACTAAAACTTGCCTTCAGGGAATGGTTTCTAAGAGAGAGAAGCACTTAGCAACTTTCAGAATAGTTTTGCTTGCTCTCTCTAAACCTACCTAAACCCCATCATCTACATTCAACCGCTGCAGGAGTATTTACATTTATAATTTATTGCTACAACTTCCTTCTACTTATTAAGCCAGCAGAGAGGTGGTGCAAATTTGCTAAAACCATCTGCCTCAGAAAAGAGCCAACCAGGAAAGCACCAGTGGAAGCAGGGGAAGCAGCTCTTGGAAGTGTCTGATTAATTACAGACACTCTCTACAACTTTCATCCATGCTCCCAGTCAAATGTGACAAGATTTCTCTGCTTTATTTACTGCAGGCTGTGCTGGCATTGTGACATCCTTTGGGGTGGCAACCAGCTACACAAAGCATGGTCTTGGGGCCATGTAGCTGCATGGCTGCTGTAGGTGCTGTGCTATAAGGGACCAGCACTGGTTCAAGCAGCTGGAAAACAACACTGATGGCTGTCACCTGTGGGAACTCCCATGACATTTATCTCTATTCTCTGTGAGGGCAGGTTTGAGATGATTCCACATTTTTATTTCCAGAGGATGAAATGAAAGGCAGCTCTATGGAGCTTCCCAGTATGGCCTTCTGCGCAATGCTTCTTCCTTCCTGATGTTACAGGGCCTGGCTGCTTGTGCCTAAATTCTCTCACCTCCAACAGGAGAACTATCAGGAATTAAGAGAGCTAAGTTATGACGTGCAGTTCTTAAATGCTAGGAACAACAGCTGTCACAGAGGACAAGGTACGTTAAGAAATAACCCAGAAGAGGTTTCTTATGGTTTGATTTGAAATCTGCACATGGTAAGTAACAAGTTAGTCATCCTGCAACAGCTGCCATTCCATTTAGCAACCAGGCCTTTTATTAAAATAATTTGTATTTGGCTGTAAGCGTTTGTGTCTGCCAACACGCAGAAGGTCAGGTTCTGCAAACCTCCATTCACGAGAATGGTATTAACTCACACTAGTTGACTCAGGAAGACGAATGCTGTCACCTATCAGAAGCTAGATAAAACAACAGCCTCTTTGCATCAAAGAACCTAATGGGGAAATCCCCTGTTTGCAACCCTTTTTTAATTACAGTAATTATAATGAAAGTTGCTGCGATGTGCAAAGGCACACGTGAGCAGGCTGGTGATGCACAGTGACTATCTTTAAGGCACCGTGATGCTCATAAACCCTCATTTCCAACTGCAGGATCCCTTGCGCCTAGCAGCACTTTGTGTTTCCCCTGCGAAGCAGGTGCGTGCACGGCAGCAGCTCACGGGGGAAGGCGCTGCCGCATGCCGCATCGCTCTTCTCCAGCACTTCTGTGAATCGTAGGTGGCGAATAAGCGACGCCCTAGCCGAAGCTAACCGATGCTGCTCCTGGGTCACAGAGGGTGAAGCGCCTGCAGGGCTGCAGCGGGGCAGGGCGGCTGAAGATTTTGGGTTACGCTCCAAGGGGCCCCTCCAATGCTGGGCAAACCGAGACCTTTCCCCTTCCATAAAGCATCATCACTTCATCCCTCCGCTCCCACCCCGCCAAGCCCGGAACCCTCAGCGGCCCTACCTGATCGGCTGGGGGGGTCTCTCACGGGCGGCGGGGGCCTCTCGCTGGGCGGAAGGGGCAGGGGTCCGGAGCGGCCTCCTCCGCCGCCGGGCGCAGGGCAGGACCCCAGCGAGATGTTCCTCTGGGGCAGCCGCGGCATCTCGTCGCTGCCGACGGGGACGGGCGGGACGGGGGGCGGCCCCGGCCTGCTGGGGGGCGGCGGGGGGGCCGGGGCGCCGAGGCTGGGCCGGGGTGCGGAGGGCACGGGCGGCTTGCTGTTCTGCGGCGGCGGCACGGGCAGGGCCGCGTCCCGGGCGGCGGGCGGCCTGTGCCCTGCTGGGGGCGGCGGCGGCGGCGGCGGCTTGTCCTCCGACGGCCGGCCCGGGGTGGACGGCAGCGGCGGTCTGCCGGAGAAGGGGGGAGCCGCGCTGGGGCCAGGCTGCCGGAGCGACCCGGCCGGCCCCGAGCTCCGGCTACCCGGGAACGGCGGGGGCGAGGGTCCCAGGCTGGACTGACGGCTCAAGCCCGGCACCGGCGGCGAGCCCCGGTTGTGCAGGCTGGAGGCGATGGGCCGCGGCGTGCTGGGCACCGGGGGCGGCGCGGCATCAGGCTTGGAGCCGACGTCGGGCCTCGGCGGCGGCAAGCGACTCCTCTGCGGCTCGGGAGCGGAGGTCCGCGGCCCCGAGGGCGGCCCAGGGAAGCGCGGCGGGCAGCTCGGCGGAGTGAAGGGCTTGGCGGCTGTGGGGCGGCCTCCGGGCGGCAGGGCGGGCGGGCGCGCTCCCCCGGCGTCTGTGGACACAAGACGGGGCATCAGCACACGTCGGACAGGGTCTTCGTCCAAGGGTTACCTAACGGGCTGTGTCCTAACGCTCTGCAAACAGTGAGGGGTCAGCCCCGGCATGTGCGTGCCCGCACGCCTTCGCGGCACGCAGGAACAGTTAGCGGACTTTTGATGGCACCGGGGAACCAAGGCTCCAGAGGAGCAGGTTACATCCTGGTAAGGCTTCGTGAGAGACCGAAGCGGCCTCAAGGTAGCACAACTGACACAGCTATCGTGCAGTAAGCAGTAACACAGGGAGGGAGGAAACGGTGAAGAACAAGTATTTGATATCATCAACCTGAAAGCAAAGAAATCTTAGCTTTCAAATAGTATTTGCAGTATTGCTGCACTGCAGCAAAAGGCTCTTTTCAGCCCTTTCTAGTAGCTTTTATCCAAGGATGTACTTGTGCACATCAGAAAAAAAAGCAACCAGCTTTGCAGTTGAAGAAGTACTGTTCTGTGATGCCAGGAACTTTTGTATTACTACAGGTTTCCAAAATAGGCTGTGACACAATAGAAAATACCGGCTCTGAGAGCCTGTTTTGTACACATGCTGAAAATTTGCATTAGTCTAAAATACGTAAGGTTTGTAACACACTACAGTCCCCATTGCCCAGTCCTCCTTCCACAAGTGTGAAATCCTACACCCTTAACCTTGCAAAACTCACTGGCCCCATATCTCCTTTGTTCCAAGGGGCACGAGGCTTTGCATAGAAGTTTTGCCAGCCAGAAGAATACAGTGCGCGCCCTGGACAAGCCTCTAAGTACAGCATACCAGCCAGCTGGGGTGCCTCATGCACTCTCTTCATGGTAAATCATGCTGTTGTGGAGCTAACGCAGATGTACTTTCCATTTGGAAAGTAGATCCTTTTTCCTGGTGCACAAGGGAGAATTAACCTGGAATCCTTTTATGCTCTCCCCACCTCTGGTCCTGCACATTCACAGCTAGGGCAGGACCTAGTCTGCCTGACTGGACTTTGCAGGTAAATTCAACATTGCAGAGATCTTTAGTTTTCATCAATAACTAGGAGGACGGGTGGGAAGAGTCGTCTCACTTCTCCCTTATAAAATCTAGTATTAAGAATAAAACAAGATTCAAGCTGAAAAATGTGATTTCCTAAGAGCCTAAGATATTTGAAGGCTTTTTCAACCCAGCAGGTAATTTACTGCAGTGCTATGAAGGTTTTAAACAATGTCACATCTACTTTTCACATTGGAACTGCAAGGTCTTTCTTACCAGCATCTCGACTCGCAGCAGATCTGAGCTTTGGCATTCCTGCTTGGAAAAGGCCTCCAAGGCCAGGCGGTCCACCAGCACCAAAGCTGCCACCACCGCCACCACCAAAGCCCCCACCGCTGCCACCACCACCTCCTCCAAAGCCACCGCCACCACCTCCACTTGGTCCTTTGGGTTCTGTTGGGAAAAAGATCCCTATGTTAGGCAGAGAAGCAAGACCAATCCTGCAGAGTCATCTATTTCATTAGAGCAATGCCTGTAGCTGGGACAAGCTTTCAAAACGCACAAAGTCCCTGTTTAGGTTGGATCGTCATAGCTACCATCTATTACACCATGGAAGAGGTGGTGCAATAAACATAGCCACTGTGTTTTATTAAGCTACCACTTTCCTTTAGTCTGCTCTGGACTGGAAAGCAGAGAAACAGTTGCTGTGGAGAATTAGGAATGGACATTGATGGGACCTCATGCTGTCTTTGTTAGCATCTTTGTAGCTGCGTGCCATTTCTTTATACCTTTGCTCTCTTCTCCTTCCCTTCTACTTCTCAATAAGCAAACCGAGACACGGGGCAATCTCACAGGAAATGTGGAAGGAAGGAGGAAGATAGAAGTGGCAATAAACATAGCCACTGTGTTTTATTAAGCTACCACTTTCCTTTAGTCTGCTCTGGACTGGAAAGCAGAGAAACAGTTGCTGTGGAGAATTAGGAATGGACATTGATGGGACCTCATGCTGTCTTTGTTAGCATCTTTGTAGCTGCGTGCCATTTCTTTATACCTTTGCTCTCTTCTCCTTCCCTTCTACTTCTCAATAAGCAAACCGAGACACGGGGCAATCTCACAGGAAATGTGGAAGGAAGGAGGAAGATAGAAGTGTTCTTCCTCTTGGAGGTGTCTTCTGGGAACGTGCAGAACCCTGTCACTATTGATGATGTTTCAACATACCTACTTAAAGCCTAGTGGCATTTCTGATTACTTTACTGTAGGTCCAGAAATGCAGTGACAGAATCATTAGTTATTTTTCCAATAGGCAGAAATTACTTGATCTGGCCTCCCTTCCTCTCCCATTTTTGTCTAAAGCCAATATTTCTGCTGCGAGAAATGTAAAGTGGAAGAGTTTCTACTACTACAAATGCAGGGAAGAGCCCTATTCAGAGCACCACTGCAAAATGAGCAGGCCCACAGGTTGAGATATCAGTGGAAATCAGCTCTCAAATGCCAGGCTACATGGCTGAGGATCAATTGCTTAATTTCCTGGCATTTCTATTTCCACAGCTTTGGGTGGGTAAAAATTTCATTGACTTTAATGTAATTAAAACATGTGGATGAAGAGCACTTCTAATAATCCCACCCAGAAAAAAGGAAGAAGAATGTGTTCATGGTAGAATGTTTCATACCGTTCTTCTCTTTCCTTAAGCATGTTAGCTCAGTTCAGCTCTGACTCACATGGGGTGTGAACCTCTGGAGAAAGGTTGTTACTATGGTTTAGTCTTTCATCACGATTTGTTAATTCATGTAAACAATAGGCTGCATCATTTTTATCTCACTGTTTACCCCTCCTTTAATCCCCTTGATGCTTTTCTCCACCTTATTACAACAGCTAGAACATGTACTTTGCTTTCAGAGATAATAATCAAATGTTTAAAAACTAAGTACCTGGCTGACTGCAGGACTGAATCTTACTTGGTCACACTCCTTTGGGCATTTCCTGCTTTCTTCATCATCTTCCCATCACAATCCAGCCTCTAATTGCATGGCCAGACGTGGACTGAGCTGTATCACGTTTGCTCATCGATCTGTAGAAGCGTCTTTTCTCCCTAGGCAATAAACGCTGTTCCTCTGACGTAGCAGGCCCTCCATAAGTGAAGCTGTTGCCTTGTGCCACAGCACCATGGGGCAGGCTGAGCAACAAGGCTCAGCCAAAAAGATCCCTGCATCCCTGAGTCACCCTAGGAGCGGCACAACTACGGCAGTGCAGCCCAGGGACACACAGGTGGGGCTCTGGCTCCTGGCTCTGGTTTTGCTTTGAATGGTGCTGGGGCCATAAACAAGCCATCAGTGTCATGCCAGTGTGCCTGCATTTTTATACTGTTTATGCAACAGTAGAGTCTGAAATTACACTGTATTCTCTGTGCTCTCCTCAGTCCCGACAGCGGTTTTGTCTGCCTGGTCTGCTGCAGCTCCTCAGCAGAGCTCCTGGTAGGGTTTGCATAGTTTTGTGATTTAAGCAAGAAAAAGAACTGCTTTTATGAGAGTAAGCAAACAAATTAACAATCACAATTCATAAGCAGTATTTGATTTCTCAACTGACTTAATCCATGATGAACACAGTTTATATTTATGCATGCCAACTTCTGGCATTTTATACTTCTCTTAGGGCAGTTTATCTGATAATATATAAAACAATTTTGTGCATTCAGATATGTAGACCCATTCGTGTATAGAGAAACTCCAACACGCAGAATCATACTTACTATCTAGAATTGGAGCACTCCTGTCATTAGTAACAGTCTTCTTTAGCTTCTTTCCTTTGGTAATATCAGACAACAGAGCATTTCGCCCTGCTTGTTCTGACCTGCTTAGGGATGGCTTTTCAGTATTTGCCTGCAAAATAAAAGTGAGGAAGCAAAATATATGTCGACTTCCAGCTAAAAGTTCTGCTCAAATACAGTTGTTCTTGAGACTTCAATTTCTGTTTTAACAGCACCGGCATGGGTAGCGTACCACATATGATTTTGTGAATGATGTATAGGTAGCTAGCCTTGATACTGACCCAAGGCCCACACACACTGGTGCTATTCTAACCCACACTATTCACCAGAAACAGAACACTTATGGGAGTTCACATTTTTTAAAGTCAAGATCAGTGACCATGAAATGGTGGAGTTTGAAATCCTTAGGGCAGTGAGGAGGGAGTGCAGCAAACTCGCTACCCGGGAGTTCCGGAGAGTGGACTTTGGCCTCTTCAGGAATCTGCTTGGTAGAGCACTAAGAGGTTGAGTAGGCTGAGGGAGCTGTCCTGGCTAAGAACCAGTATGACAGAAAGAGAAGGATGGAGAGTCAGTGAGGTTAGTGACATACATATGGGCACTGGAAGCGAGTGGAAGTGATGATCCCTTTTGTAGGATCAAACACGAACCGTAAACAAAATGTTGGAGAGCTTTCCCCAGATACCATTCGCACCCTCAGCCACACCTCAGTGCCTCTGGACACCCCACTGGATATGACAAGAGGCAACAGAGGACAGTGTATGTGGTACATTTACCTCCTGTAAAACTTACCAAGGCCAGTGTTGGGGGTGGAGGGGGAGCTGGAGGGGGTGGCACAGGCATGGTGGAAGGCTGGGTTCTGTCTGGTCTTCCTAAGAAACCTGCACAGCAAAACACAGAAACACACAAGGCTCAGAGATTAATAAATCTAAATAAGAAGCACTTAATGTTTCATTCTATGGAGAGCAGCTATGTCCTTAAATGGGGGCCCCCTATATGATCTCTGCTGCCACACAAACTCACAGACATACACATCCAGTTTTGCACACATACACAACCCACGTATTGCTATGGCAATGCACAAAAATGCAGTAATAAAACTGAACTCTGCTTACCCCAACAATCTTGTTCCTGTGGAAGTACTTCAGGATAACCCCATAGGTATAGCATCAAGAAGACATTATCCCTTTAAGATCACACTCAAAAAGAGGTGCTTTTAAAGCCCTTAAATGTCTGGAAGATCCACCCCCCATGCACACACTCATGCTTCTTCCTTCTTTCTCTGAAGACTCCACACTCCATCCTCACCTTCCTCCTCAGGAGCGGCACACACAGTAATGCTGTGTGCACTTCCCCAGGGGAGGAAAGCAGGCAGCCCGGCCTCTCAGCTGCAGGCTGCTGCAGAGGGAAAAGCCTGGCTGCCAAACCTCAGCTTTCCCTGACCTCCCTGGCTGGAGACCACGCTCCCTCTTTTTGGCACCCCAAGCAGAACTTCCAACCCAGGGCAATTCTAGGGGGGACACACCAGAGATGTGGAACTTTCTTTGCAACAAAAACATTAAAAGTTAAAAAAAAAAAAAAAAAAAGCAGGAAGGACAAGCATCGAGGAATTATTTTTCAAGTCACAAGGGCTTTTTGTAGCATTTTGGCACACTGCTCACTGGAACTTTGCCTATCAGATGCTCCAGGGCTTTTCTAATGGTGATGTGGCATTTCAGCATGTCCTTCGCTCTTGCCCATTCACCTGAGCCAGCTTCAGTAACACTGATTTACCACCATTTATATGATATTTGCACAAGACAGGTAAACACAGTGGGAACAGGAATAAGGGTTATTCTCAAGACAACCCCAGGCTGACAGCTGAGGTCCCCATGGTGGTTATTCACAAAAACACAGAGCTCTCACTTCCTGAAGTCACTCAGTTGTTTTTGATAAACCCAAGGAGAACTGTAGTAGCACAGTATCTGCCAAAACAACTTCATGGTAGGTACAGTACCCTCTACAGTTTAAATGAGCATTAGGAAAATGTCTAGAATGGAACAAAATGGCATTTGCAGTGAGGGTTCAGGGTGAGTCACCACCTACAAAGTCTGAGATGATCCATGATAAGAGGAAAAAAAATGGTTAGAAGTACAGATTTATCTTGTCAGATGCTCATGCTTTGAAAGAATTAGAATACAGCTGTAACCCCCACTCCTCCCCTCAAAAATAGTTGCTGAGCTGCCTTCCTCAGAAGAAACCTTTCCTAAAATAAGGCTTTAATGGACTTTGTCTAAAATCTGTAGGGGAGAAAGTGTGTGGAAAGGAGCCAGACACATACCCCCAAGCTCCAGCTGCCTATCTATTAAAACCCACGGAGTTTAAAGTGGAGTGTGGTACCACCATTGTCTCCAGTGCCTGTGGGTTCTCGTCTCTCTTACTGCAGAAGCTGTCTCTCTTTCCAGTGACTGTGAAAGAGCGAGGGGAAGTTGCTGGTCAGACAGACCGACTGACAGACAGAGAGGAAACTGCGAAGCCAAGCCTACGCCGCACGGTGCAAACACATGCGCTTGCAAAGCCCTGCAAACGGACCGGCGTGCGCTCATCAGTCCTCTGGTGCATTGCTGTGCGTCTCCAGGGAAGCACCAGCTTCACATTCAGAGCAGCTGCTTGAATTCAGTTACATTCGCGTCTTCCACGTTGCTAGCTGTAGGTTGTTGCATAAAACTCTGCACAAAGCCCTATCCCTTTCCCGATCTGCTTATCCTAAACACAATATTTGCAATCTGAATCCTATTAAAAGCACCAAGACTAATGCTGCTTTGTTCTGCAGCTTCCTGCTTGAAAAAACAGTCAACAGGAAAATTATTTCTTACAGCAGACCACAACCATCCTGTTTCTTAACACAGTCTTTTCACAGCTGCAGTTGTCTTTAGTGTAACTGTGCCATTAGGCTATTTCACCAAGGTTTTAACTCCTTCGACTGATTAAAAAGAGAAGAGAAATTCTCCTCTCTGCACTGCTTTGAGAGAAGAGGCCAAACAAGTCAGGATAATGTGCTGCGAGTCTCCTTGGCACTCTGTGACACAGGAAAGTCTCTGGCGTAGGCAGAATAAAGTTTGGTTTAATATCAGGCTTGTAAATTAATTCCTTAAGGCAGCTCAGAACTAACTGCAGCAAGTGAGCCAGTGTTTGTGCAAATGCCCTAACTTGTCTACCTCCCTGTCAGTTAAGTGATTGCTTTCTGCATGCTTGTGCTGTTCTGTTCTACTTTTCTTTGCCCTTTTAACTGGGTTGTTTTAGATCAGCTTCTTAAGCAACTGGCAGGGACAGAGGGGAAGCAAGGTAACACTCAAAGCCTGAGTTTTCCAAAGAGAAGACACTACTCACAGACAGCCTCTCCAAATCCCTCTCTGCACACATTAATCACAAGGAGGTATGGCAAAGGAAGGCACTGAGTGCCCCTCTTTCCCTGTGCCATCTTACAGTGGGATGATACCCTCTGATGTACCTGTAGTCACCAACTCCACATTAGCTAGTACCTCTTCTGGTACTAAAGGGCTTTCTCAACAGGACAGGAGAAGACACAGCTACCCACTATCAGTATATCATTAAGCTACTGCTGAACAAACCCTATAGCACCCAGGGCAGTTACCAGCAGGGTCTGGAAAATGACATTTTGGAAGCACAGGACAAGCTTCTGTATTAGGCCATACTCAGGTAGGAATGGCTTGAAGTTTAGTGCAAGCATCCCACAGAGTTGTTTATTCATGAGGTTCTAAAGCACACAGCTCCTTTAGGAGCCATCAGAAAAGAGATCATACGGCATGACTTGAACCTGTGTGCCCCCACACAAAAGTACATTTTACAGAGCCAGTAAAATACCCCAGTTTGTTAAATTTTAGCTTAAAAGAAGTTACAACACTGCTTCCCTAGTACTTTTGTCACTCTCTTGACTCCACTCCTGCTGCTGAGAAAGAATTTCAGAAGCTCAAGCTGAAACTCTTCAGCAAGAAACAGCACCTCTGAAGCTCTAATTCTCCCTTGCTGTTCGGCTGCTAGATTTTGTACAGTCTGTTTCTTTGCCTGACTTTTTGTAAGCAGAAGGGTGTCACTGGATTTTACCATTTGATCACTCTAAGCCTGTAGGAAAAATAATCACGTACTGAAGAGATGCAGCAAGGGGGGGCTTGCCCACACAGCACAGTGCAGTGCTGGGGCTAACCCGGGGATGAGCAGCACCTCTCAGGCTGCAGAAGCAAAGCAGCTGAGTCAGCACAACAGTGAACTTGAGTTCTGCAGCTGCTCTGTTCATCATTAATTCTCAGGATAGCTGTGTTGCACAGAGCATAAAGATGTCCTAAGATGTAAGTGTAACTTTACAATTAGAGGAAGGCTTTGGTTACTGTCCTGCACATCAACAATAGACTCATTATTTGCTCCTGGTCAGTGGGAAAGACCTGGGTTTAAGAAATGGACATTATGTTCATTTTCTAACAGCTGACACTATAAAGTGCCTGAAACAGTAACTGATCCACTCAGTAATAAATTTTACCTACCAAATTTCTTAACAACCAAGTGGTTTATGACACTCAGTGCTGCAGGGTGTTGAAAAGGAGCCAATTCCAAAAGAGTAAGGCTGAAGGGTCCTATCAGTCCTTTGCAACCCAGGCCATTTGGGTTTCTAAGTTCTTGCATATTTTCTAGGCAATAAATTATCACAGCTTTTAGGAATCCAATATGGAAACGTTATACCGAGACGAGCATTGGTGGTGCCGCAGAAAGGATTACGGTAACTAATCCGCACGCATACACCGTAGCGCCGGCCCCTGAGCCACAAGCACAAAGGGCGGTATTGTCAGCAAGAGGGGAGGACTTCCACAGCTGGCAGCAGGGCGGCAGCTGCGCTCCCGCTGCGCGGCAGGCGCCGTGCTCACCGCGCTTTCCTCTGGGGGTCCAGCCCCGGTGGGCGCTGACATCGCCAGGAGCAGGCATCCCACCGCAGCCCTCGCACTCGCCCTGCGCCGTGCCGATGCCAGGGCAGCCTCCCTGCAGGCTTATCGAGAGGGGAGCGCACACCGCCAGCCGCAGCCGCTGGCAAAGGAGATGCCGCAGAGCTGCCCACCCCCCTACCCCCAGGTAAACCATACCATCAGAGCTGTATAAGCAATACCTGCCTTTTGCAAGCTACTATCAGAAACGGTATTAAAGTATTACAATATGCAACACCATGATAAAAACTAACTTAAATTTAAAAGCAAAACAGAGGAAAGCATCCTGCAAAGAGCCCCCTTTTCCATGGAGTAATCCCTGAAGAGTAACAGGCAGAAGTGGCTTTAAACTGAACTCAGTGAAACACAAACTTTGGATATTTTGGATTTACTTTGGTACTTCAGAAATAATTTCAGGAGCATTACAAATGCTAAAAGGAAATGTGACATTTAATGTGGTATGGACATTGCAAACAACTGGACTGCAAGTACACTGTTTGCATCTAGTCAGCCATTTTGGGCTGCTTCGAGGTGCCCCCTCTTCAACATACTGAGTCAGAGGCAAACAGACAGCTCTCTGTGGTTAATCATTTCCTGCATGATTAATTTCCAAGCAGAAAAAAAAAAGAGGAAGGAACAAACAGCTATAGAAATAACATAGAACTGATACAACTTAAGGGGGGGAAACCCTGAAGTTGCCAATTAAAATGCTGTCTATGGAAAAGGGCCTAAATTCCAAAGCAGGACTGACCTAGCTCTTCCAAAATGCCTTACTCCCTGCTAAGGAAAGAAGGTAAAACTTCTAAAAATCTGAATTTGAGACATTGGGCCAGGTCCCCAAGTGCTTCACCAAGGACAACTGACTGCAAACACAGTACAGAGGAGCTGGAAGATCCTTTAAAATCACTTTC